TCCGAAAAAAAAATTAAAAAATTGGGAACTTTTGTGTGCCAGTGCTTTGGGAGGGAATCGAACCCCCGGCGGGTCGAGATTGATACTCGGTCTGTTACAATGGCAACGACCCAGGTTACCTCTACCCCACCAAAGCGGTACAGTCTAATATCTCAAATGCAGTGAGGTACTCGACCTACAGGGGAGGCGTAGCTCCCGCTTACTTGGATATTATAAGTATGCTCTGACTGCCGCGTGCTGCCTCGAGCTTGACCGTTCACGGAAGACGCAGAAAAAAATGCCCAATTGCGCAAGGGAGGGACCGAAAGAATGAGAGATGCTCCCAAAAATCATATTGGCGACAGAATGCTTTGCGGGGGAATCGAACTCCCGGCGGGTCGACTCAAGAGGGTAGTATCTTGTGGCAACGACCCATGCCCTACCAAAGCAGTGGATATTGGGACCCTGGATATCTTCAAACTCGTGCATATGACTAGAGTAGCAATGCCGGCGCTGAACCAGCCGGGTAATATAAACAAAAGAGGTAAACAGCGGGCCGGGCCGCGTCTATGCCGATATGGATCCGACGACATGGAGAGCATACCCCGGGATGCCGTGTTCGATGCCGACTCGGACGGTGGCGAATGAACAAAGACGCTAGCGCTGTTTGCGATGCAACTGGCGGTGGCAGCCGCTGACATGGGGCGGAATCTTGCGTGATAGAAAACCAATGGTCGTGGCGCGCAAGTCCACATATGCTACCTCGACCCGCACGAAAAGAATAAAGGTGCCCGAGTTGGGGCGTGCGCGAGTCTCGAGCAAGGCTAAGACCAAAAGGGAAGCGAAAATACTGGATACAACTTTACACCCACTTCCGAGTCCTCCATGCTTTGGGGGGGAATTGAACCCCCAGCGGGTCGATGGCAGTGATACCACTTCTTAAAGGTACGACCCAGGTTCCCATTACCCCACCAAAGCCGTAGTGTATGCGGCCCAGGAGGGGCAGAGGTACTTGCCAGTGGCCCGCTGCCGCGGCAGCTCAAACAGCGCCACCTTGGCCTTGTGGCACTGTTCTAGGCTGGGCACATGTGTTAGGGGGGATCGAACCCCCAGCGGGTCGAGCTTCACGATCTGATTTGCAATGACAACGACCCAGGTACCTCTACCCCACCAAACAAAGCACTGGCAGTACATACACTATCATATTTCAAATGCAGTGAGGTACTCGGCCAGGAGGGAGGCGTGGCTGGCGCTTATTCGGATATTATAAGTATGCTCTGACTGCAACGTGCTGCCTCGAGCTTGACCGCTCACGGAGGACGCAGAATAAAAGTGCCCAAGCTACGTCGCGCAAGGGAGGGACCGAAAAGAACGAGAGATGCTCCCCCAAAAACAGTACTCAAATACGGGCGCCACAAACAGTGCTTTGCGGGGGATCGAACCCTCGGTGGGTCGACTCGGGTAGCATCTTGTGGCAACGGCCCATGCCCTAAAGCGTAGCAAGCTTCACTTGGATGGGTCCAAGGTTTACATGTAGCAGGACACAGCTATTACAAAGTCACATCTTCCATTAATGCTTTTGCAATTGGGAGCTCCAAGCAATCGAACCCCCCGGCAGAGAGCGCGAGAATAGCGCCTTGTGACATACTCTACCAAAGGGGTGGATCTTGGGAGCCTGGATACGCTGAAGGAGTCGAAGTGCTGCAAGGAGGCGTGTCGTGTCAGTCCTCACTTGGATCTAATGTCTACAGGGCAGTACATCATAGCTGCTAGATTTCTGGCTGCCAATGCTGCCAGTGCCTCCGGTCGTTCACCCGCACGAAAAGAGCTTGAATAAAAGTGCCCGCAAACATTTCGCAGGGCAAAGACCAAAAGACAAAAGTCAAGAGGTATCAAGCCGGAATATGCTTGGGGCGACTAATCAGATACCAGCGGTACTCCATTGGTACCGAAGTGGGCGGAGTTGCTCGGCCCGCTGCCGCGGAACCTCAACGTCGACGACCACCTGTAGCGCTGATCATGGCAGCGCGCAGCTTTGCCCCGGTAGTCAGCATCAATGGTACAGTATACACACTGTGCAGATAAGTAATGTATCTCATGGTGTTTGGATCGCTATTATGCATGAAGAGATGTGCTCCCCCAACCGTCCACGCGTACGATAGGATACTCCAAGCTGGGGCTTGCATGTCTAGACTTGGGCAAAAGACAAAAAAAAACGACGTAATCGGTCTCCAAAGCTTTGGGAGGGAATCGAACCCCTGACGGGTCAGCTGATCGGCGAACGGAAAGCAGCCATGGCAACGACCCACGTTCCACCATCAAAGCGACAGCTAATAGGTCCCAGGACAGTCATAGACCACCCGGGTTGCCACTAATCCGCCAAAGCGGTAGTTCATGGGCCCCAGGAGGAGGATAAGGCGGGGTTATCACCGTGACGGTGTGGCACCCGGGCAGCCTTGAAGTTTGTAGAGTTTGCAACTGCTAGGGCAGTGGACCCATACAGCGAGCCCCTACCGTGCACAGAGAAACGCAAGGTTCTGACAAAGAAACCACGGCTTGGACCCATGGGCCGCCCTTAATCGATAAGATCGAAACCGCGCTGTCAAAATTGCGGAATGAGATCGAAGTCGAAGTGTTTAATAAACACTCCCTCCGTATTCTCCCTAACATAAACCGGGATGACTTCGAGGCCCTACTCCGTCTCTTAGCCGATAACAGTGTTATCGCTGTTCCGGCTGATAAGAATCTCGGACTCTGCCTTGTCACGTCTGAATGGTATCATTCTATGGGGATGAAGCTTTTGGTTAATGACTCCTACGTGGAGGATGAGCCGGACCATGTCCTGCAGCTGTTTACTCTACGCACGATTATACTTCGAGCGAAGAGATTCATAACGGAACAGCAGTACAAATGGCTTCGCCAACCTTGTGTCGACGAGCTTAATAAGGTCCCGGTTCTAAAGATATTACCAAAAATCCACAAACTCCCTATCTCCGGCCGCCCGATAGTGCCTACCTTTGGTACCCTTCTCGCGAATGCCTCGGTATGGGTCGATTACCAGTTGAAACCGCTCCTGGACATGTTCCCCTGGATTCTTCGTGACTCAAAGTCTTTCTGTCATGATATTCTAGGAATCGGACTGCCACCAGGAGAAGACATCTGGCTCGTCACTGGAGACGTTGTTGCAATGTATCCCAACATCCCAACAGATGAAGGGATTGCATGCATTGCCGATATCCTTAAGACCTCACATGTGGAGTTCACCACTCTAGTTGAGGCGGCCAACATGAATTTTAATGGACGCAAGGAGCTGATTATTCTCCTCCTTCGACTCGTACTTAAGTTCAACTATGTTAGCTTCGGGGATAAAACGTTTCGACAGGTTATAGGCACCGCTATGGGGACATCCTGTGCCCCCACTTATGCTAACCTATTCCTTGCCTCGTTCGAAGGCACCGCGCTCGACGAATTGAAGGACATCATCCTGTTCTACAGGCGCTTCATTGATGATACTTTTGCTATCATCAAAGGAACCCTGCAAGACGTCCGGATTTTCCAACAGCGGTTTGGATCCCTGCATCCGAACATGAGGATGGAATGGACAGAGTCTCAACACTCAATGCCGTTCCTTGACGTACACATTCTCCTCGAGTTTGACCCGAAGAGCCCCGCGTTTAACCCGCGGCGTCGTTTAACCACGAAAGTGTACCAAAAGGCACTCAATGCCTACCTCTACATTCCCTGGAACTCCTGTCATTCCACCGACTCCAAGCGTGCTTGGGTCAAAGGTGAGCTTATCCGCTATGTACGGATTTGCTCCAAGGAATCGGACTTTGCCGAAATGCGCACACTGTTCGCGACCCGGCTTAGCGCACGTGGATATCCAGGACGCTGGCTTCGAGATGTGTTTGGGGAAATTGATTATAAGGCTGAGCGCCCACTAGCGCTAAAATCGGCTGTGCCTAGCACAGCAGATGGCCGAGATATTCATGTCCTCAAGCTCACCCATAATCCAGTTTGGGACGACATAAACCTCCGACCTCTCTGGCGTGATTTGGATGGATCATGGGAAGAATTTGGGACAGGGTACCCCGAATTCAACTTCATGGCTTCATTTAAAAAACCAATCGCATTGGGTGACCGATTAAATGTACACAATCGTCACACTCTCGAAGAGTATCACAGCCGACTTGCGGCTAACGTTTAGTTCTCTTTTTTCTCAATCCTCGACATGCGCCGCGCGCGACCCTTCGGGTCGCGCACTGCGGCGGCGCATGCCTTCGGATTGATAAAAAAACTTGAGTTCTAAATTAGTTAGTCTGTTATTTTAGTCTGTAAAATTTTAGTCTGCCGACCCAATTTTATTTGGGCACAGCGGGACGCCTCCGGCCTCTACCGCCAAGACACCGGCATGTGGCTTCGAGCGCCCCTTCTTGATTCTCTGACGAGAATTCACTGGCGCCGGTCACATGACCCGGGTATTGCAGACCCGAACTGCTCGACACAGTTAGTAAATTGGTGACTAGTAGACACCTCTTGAACACTCAGAGCTGGGAGGATAATAACATGTAGTCCTGAATTAATGTGTTGAGTTCTCGCTAATTCCACTATTCAGACACAGCACCGGGTTGTTTGGCATTCACGCCATCAAACAGTCGCTGGATACATTGGGGATAGTCACCTGACGAGTCTTCTACAGACGAAACACTTGCACCCAGCGTCGTGGGTCCCCGCCTACTGTACTAGTCTACTACCTTGTCGTCGTCGGTCGCTTCGCTCCCTCCTCCTCCCGTTTTAGGTTTAGCTTTACTTTTTAAAGAAGTTGCTTCTTTTACATGCCTGTGCGATTAGATTATAGAGGAAGACCCGTACCGTACGAGCTCGCTCATGTTCAGATGTTCAGCAATTTCCCGAAACCTGAAACGCAGAATAAAAATGCTGAAGCTGCGTCGCGCAAAGGAAAGACCAAAAGAACGACAGATGTTCCGAAAAAAATAGAAATGGGCAGTTGATATTGCAAATGCTTTGGGAGGGAATCGAACCCCCGGCGGGTCAAGATAGATACACGGTCTGTCTGCGATGGCAACCACCCAGGTTACCTCTACCCCACCAAAGCAGTGCAGTCTGATATCTCAAATGCAGCGAGGTACTCGACCTACAGGGGAGGCGTGGCTGCCGCTTACTTGGATACTGACTGCCACGTGCTGCCTCGAGCTTAACCAAGACGCAAAAATAAATGTGCCCAACTTGAAGCTGCGTCGCGCACTGGCCGGAAGACGCAGAATAAATGTGCCCAAGCTGCGTCGCGCAAGGGAGGGACCGAAAAGAACGAGAGATGCTCCCCAAAAACAGTACTCAAATACGGGCGCCACAAACAGTCTTAGCGGGGGGATCGAACCCTCGGCAGGTCGACTAAAGAGGGTAGCATATGCAGTGTGACCTGCAGGGATTCGTCGCGCAAAGGAAAGACCAAAAGAACGACAGATGTTCCGAAAAAAAAAAAAAAAACATTGGGAACCTTGTGTGCCAGTGCTTTGGGAGGGAATCGAACCCCCAGCGGGTCGAGATTGATACTCGGTCTGTTACAATGGCAACGACCCAGGTTACCTCTACCCCACCAAAGCGGTACAGTCTAATATCTCAAATGCAGTGAGGTACTCGACCTACAGGGGAGGCGTAGCTCCCGCTTACTTGGATATTATAAGTATGCTCTGACTGCCGCGTGCTGCCTCGAGCTTGACCGTTCACGGAAGACGCAGAAAAAAATGCCCAATTGCGCAAGGGAGGGACCGAAAGAATGAGAGATGCTCCCAAAAATTGTATTGGCGACAGAATGCTTTGCGGGGGAATCGAACTCCCGGCGGTCGACTCAAGAGGGTAGTATCTTGTGGCAACGACCCATGCCCTACCAAAGCAGCGGATATTGGGACCCTGGATGTCTTCAAACTTGTGCATATGACTAGAGTAGCAATGCCGGCGCTGAACCAGCCGGGTAATATAAACAAAAGAGGTAAACAGCGGGCCGGGCCGCGTCTATGCCGATATGGATCCGACGACATGGAGAGCATACCCCGGGATGCCGTGTTCGATGCCGACTCGGACGGTGGCGAATGAACAAAGACGCTAGCGCTGTTTGCGATGCAACTGGCGGTGGCAGCCGCTGACATGGGGCGGAATCTTGCGTGATAGAAAACCAATGGTCGTGGCGCGCAAGTCCACATATGCTACCTCGACCCGCACGAAAAGAATAAAGGTGCCCGAGTTGGGGCGTGCGCGAGTCTCGAGCAAGGCTAAGACCAAAAGGGAAGCGAAAATACTGGATACAACTTTACACCCACTTCCGAGTCCTCCATGCTTTGGGGGGGAATTGAACCCCCAGCGGGTCGATGGCAGTGATACCACTTCTTAAAGGTACGACCCAGGTTCCCATTACCCCACCAAAGCCGTAGTGTATGCGGCCCAGGAGGGGCAGAGGTACTTGCCAGTGGCCCGCTGCCGCGGCAGCTCAAACAGCGCCACCTTGGCCTTGTGGCACTGTTCTAGGCTGGGCACATGTGTTAGGGGGGATCGAACCCCCAGCGGGTCGAGCTTCACAATCTGATTTGCAATGACAACGACCCAGGTACCTCTACCCCACCAAAGCACTGGCAGTACATACTGTAGTATTTCATTCAATTGATAAGTCACGCGTCACAGACCCTTCAAATTTACGAAATTTTTTCGTAAGTCACATGTCCCCAGAGGGCCTTACGAACGGTTTCGGCGAACGAAAAAAAAAACCCCTCCGGAGCGGCCCTGCGGGGCAGGATCTCAGTGGTAGATACGAAAAATTTTCGTAAGTCACGCAGCCATCCATCACCTTATGAAAAGGTCAGTTCGTAAGGCCATGTCACACCCCGAAAGGCCTTATCAATTGAATGAAATACTACAGTACACTATCATATTTCAAGTGCAGTGAGGTACTCGGCCGGGAGGGAGGCGTGGCTGGCGCTTATTCGGATATTATAAGTATGCTCTGGCTGCAACGTGCTGCCTCGAGCTTGACCGCTCACGGAGGACGCAGAATAAAAGTGCCCAAGCTACGTCGCGCAAGGGAGGGACCGAAAAGAACGAGAGATGCTCCCCCAAAAACAGTACTCAAATACGGGCGCCACAAACAGTGCTTGGCGGGTCGACTCAAGAGGGTAGCATCTGTGGCAACGATCCATGGCCTAAAGCGTGGCAAGCTTCACTTGGATGGGTCTAAGGTTTACATGTAGCAGGACACAGCTATTACAAAGTCACATCTTCCATTAATGCTTCTGGGAGCTCCAAGCGATCGAACCCCCCGGCAGAGAGCTCGAGAATAGCGCCTTATGACATACTCTACCAAAGGGGTGGATCTTGGGGGCCTGGATAGTAAGCTGAAGGAGTCGAAGTGCTGCAAGGAGGCGTGTCAGCCCTCACTTGGACAGGGCAGTACATCATAGCTGCTAGAATTCTGGCTGCCAATGCTGCCAGTGCCTCCGGTCGTTCACCCGCACGAAAAGAACTTGAATAAAAGTGCCCGCAAACATTTCGCAGGGCAAAGACCAAAAGACAAAAGTAAAGAGGTATCAAGCCGGAATATGCTTGGGGGGGGGTTTAACCCCGACCAATCAGATACCACTACCCCATCAAAGCGGTACTCCGAAGTGGGCGGAGTTGCTCGGCCCGCTGCCGCGGAACCTCAACGTCGACGACCACCTGTAGCGCTGATCATGGCAGCGCGCAGCTTTGCCCCGGTAGTCAGCATCAATGGTACAGTATACACGCTGTGCAGATAATGTATTTCATGGTGTTTAAATCGCTATTATGCATGAAGAGATGTGCTCCCCCAACCGTCCCGCGTACAATAGGACATTCCAAGCTGGGGCTTGCATGTCTAGACTTGGGCAAAAGACTAAAAAAAAACGACGTAATCGGTCTACAAAGCTTTGGGAGGGAATCGAACCCCTGACGGGTCGGCTGATCGGCGAACGGAAAGCAGCCATGGCAACGACCCACGTTCCACCATCAAAGCGACAGCTAATAGGTCCCAGGACAGTCATAGACCACCCGGGTTGCCACTAATCCGCCAAAGCGGCAGTTCATGGGCCCCAGGAGGAGGATAAGGCGGGGATCACCGGCACCGCTAGTGGCAGGCAGCCTTGAAGTTTGTAGAGTTTGCAACTGCTAGGGCAGTGGACCCATACTGTGGTATTTTAATCAATTCGTATGCCGTTTTTGGTGTGACATTGAATACGAATTTCTCAATTCGTATAGATCACGTAAATTACCATATGTAGACGTGATGCGCGCCAAAGGCGCGCGAAATTTTGAGAAATTGCCTTATTAGGACGCAAAAATTTCGACTGTTGTGTGACATACGAAAAATCTATATCTATAATAAAAGGGGGTGCGACAAATGACCTGAGCGTGATTACGAGCCACCCGGTCCCGCCCGACTGCCAAGCGCCAAGCTCGGTCCGTGCACGCAACGTCATTCTCACACACATGCACGCACCACGGCACCAGCGGCAGGCCCCGTGCATGCGACATCGCCGTCAGACTGGGAAACGGCACCAGCGGCACGCTACAGCGGGAGGACCGGCATGCGGCCGGACGGGCCGGCGGCAGTCTCACGGGAAACGGAACGAGCGGCGGGGGCGAAGGACAGAACCGGCAGGCAGTGCGGTAAGCGGGCGGCAGGCAGACAGGCGAGCAGACAAGCACGCGGCGGGCAACGAGCAGCGGAACAAGGGGCGGTAGGTGACGGGCGGAGGTGTTGTTCTACACCATATTGATGCTTCTCCGCAATATTCAAGTTGTATACACTCAATCTTCTGACGTTATTAGTTGCGCAGATTTTCCTCCGTGAATTTTATTCACGGGTAAGGCTAGTTTTCGTAAAGGTGGGGTGTGACACGTGACATACGAATTGAATAAAATACTACAGTACAGTCAGTTCCGTTTTTTCCTCATCCGCCCCACTTCCTTTTTGGGAAATCATGTGATAAAGCCATGGCGGCAAACAAATCGGCCGACTGATGCGTGCCGAGACGTGCCGCTCGCTCGCGAAAGGTTATAAGTCCACGCAGAACAAGGAAAGCAAATACAATTTGGTCACAAATACAAGTTAAGGGCTACAAAACTAGAGGGAATACATATTCTAAGTGTAGTTTGGGGGAATAAGTATATGATCCAAAGGTGAAAGTCGCTGGGGGCGCGCTCGCAGGTGGCGGCTGCGATGATGGGAGATAAGATAGCTGTGCGAGTGCAGGTACAGTTGAGGGTAGGCTAGCGGAGAATGGAGTGATACACGCCAGGGCACTTGCAGGCGGCAGCGTGGACTGGCTCGGAGGGCTGTAAAGGTTCTGGTCAGTATCATGCGCTCTTAGGAGATTGGTAAATATACTCAGTTCGTTGCCTCTTCAATCTGCTTCCACTGCTGGCTCCCGCGCCGTACGACCTGTCCATGTTGGGCCCCGAGGGTTTATGCTTCTTTGTGTTCTTTCGGCGCGGCATCATTGATTCTTGAGTTCGGCTCCACCCAGATGACGACGGCACATGCATTGAAGAAGGCAGCACGCCGCTGTTGTCGGTCTCGAGAAGCAACGCGTCAAGCGCAGCTATGAGACTGGGGATGGATGCGAGCTCCTTTCGGCGTGATCGCCATAAGCGAGCGGCGGCTGTCTCCATTTTCTCAGCCAGTAGCGTGTGCTCGGGACGGGCTTGAGAAGGAGAGAGATCGGATGGGTCCAGCAGCTCAGGTGTCGTTGGACTTGGAGCCGGATGCAAAGGAGTTGGGGAGTCATCAAATGTGGTGGTTTCCGGGCCGGCGCTCTCATCGAACAGGCGCTGGACAGCAGCGATATGCTTGCAAAAAAGCAGCAGGGGGAAGTCCAGACAATTGCAGCTGTAGAGATCGACGTCGACGTTGTACATCTTCGATGGCAGCGAGCTTGAGGTAACCAGGTACAAGGCTTCCCCGACTTGCTCTATGTCGTCCTTGGTGTATGCCTCGGCTCGTTTCATGATGTCCAGCCGCTTCTTCACCTCGAGGTCGGGGCCTTCAAAGTTGTTGTCCTGCCGACGGCGTAGTACGGGACAACACGCTCGACAAGCGTGCACGTGTAAACAAGATGGTCGATGCGGCGGTTCCTTTTGCCCAGTAGGAATTTCCACTTGAGAACGTGGTGCCAGCTAATTGGGCGTTAGTATACAGGCTAGCAGCATGAACACGAAACGCACGCCTCTACCAGCATATTCGTGTCGCACCTCTCCCAGATGTTACGTGACCCTCGATAAACGGCAGACCACATGGCTTTGACATCCTTCTTCATCCACGTCTCCGTTAGGTAGGCGATGAATCCTGTCGGCGCTATCCGCTTGATCTCTTCCCAGGTCGCATCGAACTTTGCTTGATCGTCAATGCGTATCCATCTCTTCAACAAATCCCACAACTCCGGCGACTCTGAGATGCGCAGATGCTGTTGCCAAGCATGGAGGACACGCCACCAGCATAGCAAGATGAACGACAGGTGCGCGGCATCCGTTCTCCACCAGTCAATGCGGGCGATCTTGCAAGCGTTGATTTGAGCCTTGTCGAAGTCCGTCATGATATAGCGGGGGTTGACTAGTGGCGAGCGAAGATGATTGAGCCGTAGGAAATAGAGAATTGTCGTCTCGCAGCCGTTTGAAGCGAGCATCCAAGCAATGGGGATCCCGTGGCCATGGTGGTCGCGCACAACAAGTGTCGTAAGCTGGACGTTCTCGTACATTGTGATATTGTGAGTCCCGTCAATGCACAAGATCGCGTTCCCGTACTTGCGGAACATTCGCCGCTGCCATCCTGTCTGGAACATCAGCGTGAATACATCAGTTTCAAGACCCGAGTCAGCAGGTGGAGGGTCGGTCTTCGACTTGAAGCCGAGCAGATGCTTCCGTGTGCGGAACCGCTCTACCCATGCCAGTGTCGATTGGCCATCATCGGGGTGCAGCTGGATGTCTTCAGCCTCGATGGCCTTCTCGATGCGGCGGATGTCACGTAACTGAATGAATTCGGTGCGGAGCGCAGGCTGCTCTTGATCAGATTCTTCGTCTGAAGCGTCATTGAACCAGTCCTTGTCGTTGTAGGCGCCACGATGGACGAGGTCAAGCTAGAAACATGATTAGTTGCCTTTTGTAAGCAGAGGGCAAGGTATCGCACCACTGCACCCGATCCCATCTTATTCCGAAGCTGAGCAGCGATGAATTCACGAGTTGCCTTAGGAATTCGCGTGAAAGCAACGTTGCCGTGGTTGAGGGAATGGTTGTGCACATTCGAGTACGCGCCAAGCATTATTGATGTGCCAGGGTATCGTTTTACTGTGAGCGCGCATTGGCAGTCGGTACGTTTTGGTGGCAGACGTCGAAGGCGGTCGGGTAGTTTCTTCTTGTATTGT